TTTCAGATAACCCAGGTGCACATCTTGGATATTTCAGCATACTCACTTTTAATCAAGGTGTCTTTTGTATACAGGTTCAGTCCTCTCCATTAAACATAAAGGGATTTATCCTCACTCTTAAGGTTTAATTTTGTTGTTTCCTCAGTTTATAGTCAAAATCAAAGCCTTATCAGTTCAAAATGATAGGAAAACAAAAAACAATTAAAAAGACTCAGGGCCTTGTTTGGATTTTGATGGTTTCCTTTTAATGGCTCTACATTTTCTGCCCTTACAAGGATAAAGTGGTCTAGAAAATTGAACCATCTCAAGTAAAAGGAATAGGAGTGCTGAAAGGAGTCTGTGGTCAGAACTAGAAAGTGTTTTTTTAAATTTGTTTTGCTAGTGGATGTCAGCTTCTTTACGGATAAACTTCTACAACTATCACAATGACATCATTGACAATTGAGCTATTCTGCCACCTACCTCGTAAGCACAAGGACCCGAGTTCAATCCCTGGTACCAAAATAAACAAGACAAAAAAAGACAATTGAGCTAGCTTAGTTGCAATTTTTGGTGTCCATACACCGAATAATGGTATCCTCACAATAAATAATGGGTTAAAGCAGTTCTACAGTGTGTCAGGGGGTGTCTGTGGTTCGTTTCGTGGTATGCTGTTGAGTCAGTTCACTTGTAGAGAAAGCCTCCTAACTGACTGGCCATTGTTTAATAACTGTCATTACATCATCTGAAAAAGCTAATAAGAACTAAATGCATTTTATTGCTTTTCCTCCATTCTTGAATCATTCTTGAAAAAGTGAATTTAGGCTGGGTATGGTAGCATGTGTCTGTAATCCCAGCACTCAGGAGGTTGAGACAAGAGGATTGCTGCATGTTCAAGACCAGCCTGGGCTACATAGTAAGTTCAAGGTCAGCCTGAACTACATAAGTATTCCTTATGTTCCCAGGCCAGAGAAGCTCAGCTGCTTTATAGAGTAGGTTTGCCTTTCCTTCATCTTCCCTTTCTTCCTTCCTTTTTTTTTTGGTACCAGGGATTGAACTCGAGACCTTGCGCTTGCAAGGCGCACGGTGGAACCACTGAGCTAAATCCCCAGCCCACTTGTTTTTTTTTTTAAATACAAACATTATCTTACAATTCTGGGCAGTCAGTAGTCCAGCACAGCCTCACTGGGCTTAAATCAAGGTGTCAGCAGAGGTGTACTTCTTCTTAGAGGCCTATTTGTTTTCTTGCCTTCTCTACCTTACAGAATCCACCCACATTTCTTGGTTCACAGCTCCTTCTTCTCTCTTTGAAGCCAGCAATAGCCCGTCAAGTCTTTCTCATATCTCATCATAGTGTAGCTTTTCTGTTGTGAAAAGTATGTTATCAGCTATTTAACTCTGCTAAACCTTCCAACCTACAGACTTAAGAAAAGCCTGAGTAAATTGTTGATCTTGCATGAAATTGTTTTTTGGGGTTTTTTTGGTACTGGGGATCAAACGCGGGTCCTTGCGCTTGCGCAGCAGGCGGCAAAATTGTGTGACATTGTTAAGGGCAAAGATTTCCTATAACCTTGTCTTTATGGGTTACCATCTTTTTTCCCTCCGAGGCATAGGGACTGAACCCAGGGCCTTATATACAGTGCTCTAGGCAAGCACTCAACCACTGAACTATACCCCCAGCAAAGACAACCATCTTTAAATCAAGAAAAAAAAGTATACCTATTTAATAAAACTTTGAAAATGATCCTAAGCCTGGGTTTTTCAAATCGCACATTCAAATCTATTAGTAATTTATGAAATCATTTCAGAAAGTCATTATCAGGGTAGCTTTAATGAAATAGGATAGACTATATCAGGGACCAGCACATGTAGGAAAGTTAGGATTGTTCCACAAAATTTTGTGTTTGACAAGAGGTCTATAAACATACATACATAAAGGATTACCACATAAAATGTATTTCTTACTCTGGGTTATGGTCAAAGTTTGAAAAACATATGTATATATATGCATACATACATACCTAGTAGTTCCAGAAAATGTAATTGCTCATGATTAAAATATGCAATTAAGGGTGATGTGTTAGTTTTGAATTCGCCTTCTTAATGTGCCTCTCACAATACTCAGGGAACTCACCTCCCTGTATAACTGTGGAGCACAAGCATTGCTCGTGAGGCATCTGGGCAGTGTGTGGGGACCACAGGCCCAGTTCAGGGCCTCAGAAAAGACTTCCAACATACATTGTCCTCTCCACTCCCATCCCCAGTCTGGCTGGATCCCCTTATATGGTCACTTGCCCTAAGTTCAATCTCCACTAGCACAAAAAAGTGAGCATTCTAACTTCTTAAGAATACTTGTTCCGATCAGTCTTTAACAGATAAATGCCCCAAGCCCAAAGCAATAAAGCAGCATGTTCATCAGCATATCCAAAACTAAAACAAGTCACTAGGTTGACAACTCTAGGATTTTTTTAATATAAATAATGTGCAATATAGGAAAATTAGAAAATAAAAAATACAGAATAACAGATCAAAAATATTTTAGATCATAATGATATTTTTGTAACTTTATTTTTTCATCAGTGTGTTTACATATTTTAATATCTTTCTGCATCAGTAATTGCACTTCTACCTCAATGTTTTCATGTTATTTAGTCTTCTTGGTACTATAATTTATTCTTCTGTTGTCCAATATTTGTTTCTGATGGGGGGAAGTTTTTTTTTTTTTTTTTTTGGTACCAGGGATTGAACTCGGGTCCTTGCACTTGCGAGGCAGGCGGCAGAACTACTGAGCTAAATCTCCAGCCCCTAAGATTTTTAATCACAGTGTGTTGTGAATTGTCCACTGAGGCAGGATTTACTAAATCTGCTCACTAAAACTTTCCTATCACCTTGTAGGACAGTTACTTATTCAAAGTAAGTATTCCTTAGTCATATATTTTAATTTTATAAATTTACAAATGGGGGAGGTGGATCTTTCCGTCTTAGCTGTTTAGAAATTTAAGAATATAGATTTCCTTGGTAACAGTAATGCCAGGGTAGAAATTTGTACCATTGTAGTGCATACAATCAGTGTTTCTGGCAAGAATGTGTGGTTGTCAGATGTGCTGTATATTAAGGTTTTATGTTAAAAAGCAAGATTTCTGGGCCGGGGATTTAGCTCAGTGGTTCCGCCCCCTGCCTCACAAGCACAAGGTCCCGAGTTTGATCCCTGGTACCAAGAAAAAGAAAAGCAAGATTTCTGCATAATTAATTAATTGGAAAATGTCTATTGGGCATCTATTTTGTTCCAGACACCTTGCATTGGAGCTAGATACTGGCAGGGTGAAACAGTCTGTTAGAGGAAGCTGGCATTGATCAGATAATCATCCTATTAAATATGTAATGATGCTCCAGAGCAGAAGAGCATGGTACTATGAGCAATTCAAACTGGACTGGAATCAGCAGTTATTTCCCCGAGGAAGTAATACTTCATCTAAGCTCAACAGGTGAATGGAGGGTGGAGGAATGTTCAAAGGTCCCAAGAACAGAGACAGCTTGTAATCCCAGCTACTCAGGAGGCTAAGATAGGAGAATTCTGTTTAAACCCTCTACCTCTTGCCTGGACCACTATAATAGCCTTCTAATTGTCTCGATCTCTCTTCCTCCCCATTGTCACCTTTTCTTCTCAAATAAACTGAGGATAACTTTTTACCCATACCCCAAGATCCACTGTGACCTCCAGCAGCATGCTTTAATCCTCTTCTATATACTCCCAACATTTCAGTTGAATTTTTTGAACTGGTGTTTTTTTTTTTTTTCTTTTCCAGTACCAGGAATCAAACTCAGGACCTTGTGTTTTCCAGGCAGGTGCAGCGCCACTGAGCTAAATCCCAAATCCCCCACTTATTTGAATTTTTTGAATTCTGATATTGAATAGTTTGCATGGTGAGATGCTGCTTTCCTTTCTTCTGTTTCCCATGATGAGTACTGTACTTAGTGCCTTTCACAAAATAATGTTCAATAAGCCTTGATTAAAATGGATTGAGCGCAAGGCTAAAATGGACTCTGCTCCTCTTAGAACAGGCATTGTCCAGCTAACTTCCCTAAGACTCCTCGGGCTATGAGATTGCAGACCAGCTTTGCGGTGTGCCGTGTCACACCCTCACTTTCTGGTACTGTACATTGGTTCTGTGGAGAAGGGCAAGGATGACATTCCTTTTTAATTTGTAGAAGAATATGGACCTTTCTTGAACAGTTCAAAAACTTACAGCTAAAAATGTGGGAATGACATTAGTGAAGTGTTACAAAAGTAAAATGCATTGCAGAACTTATAATTGCCTGTGAGGGACAAAGAGATCCACAGAGGCATGGCTACTAACTGGAGGGGGCAGAGGATTATTTGTTGTCTTGACCATATTCATAGGGATGGCAGAGTTTCCTGACTGATTCTGGTATCTTCTAAAGATAAGAGTTTATTCACTATGACTTAAAAGGTAGTAGTCGGTTAATGAGGATGATCCCTGGATGAATTGTGTACAGTATTTATTGGAGGCACTTTTCATCAGTCAGAAGGCCTGAAATGTGTAGTTGCAGGTTTGCTTTGAGCCTTGAATCCTCTTGTGAAGTAGAGGAAAGATTTGAGATCCAAAGTCTCCAACTATCTCAGAGTGACAGAGTCTTGCAATCCCTGGACCAAATTGGCTTTAGGATGGGAAGAAACATCATTTAATACATGTAGAGTGCTTTCCACTTTACTAAGCACTGTTAAGCCCATTTTCTTGTGTTAGCCTCATGACAGTCCTATGAAGTGGGCTAAGCAGATAACCTTCATTCCATAGATGGGGAAATCAAAGTCACAAGGCCAATCAGAAGTAGAACCAAGATCTTCTGATTCCTTAATACATGCTCTCTCCATCCCGCCATGCTACTGAGTTCTAGAAGAGGAGAAAACTATGTAACAGTACTTCCCACTTTGGTGAAACTGATTGGCCCAACATGTTCGGCCATTGGTTGAGTCTGTGCCTTCTTCTTTTTGTCCACAGAGCCATGGGGGTGTTGATGTCCAAGAGGCAGACAGTGGAGCAGGTGCAGAAGGTGAGTCTGGCTGTGTCTGCCTTTAAGGATGGGCTTCGGGACAGGCCTTCCATCCGACGAACAGGTGAGCTACCAGGGTCTCGCCGTGGCACTGTAGAGGGCTCTGTCCAGGAGGTGCAAGAGGAGAAAGAACCAGAAGCAGGCAACCCAGTGGTCCAGGAAGAGAGCAGTGTCCACCGTGCAGCCTGGGAACGGCTCCGAGATGGGCGTGGAGTAGAGCCAGAGGAGTTTGATAAAACCAGTCGATTCACACCCCCTGCCTTCATCCGCCCTACCCGGAAGCTGGATGATGACAAGCCTCCAGATATCTGCTTGGAGCCCAGAGAGCCCGTAAGTGTCCAGTTAGGGCACGATCCTCCAGTCTTAGTCTTTCTGGAGATCTGAGCATGGTTGAAATGAGACTCAAAACCAGAAAGCTGAGTCCAGATTACATCTTGGATTTGTCTTAGTGAGAGACTTGGGGCAGTGGGTAATGAAGATCTACCAACCCTCCCACCTACAGGCTCTCAGTCATGGATAGTAATGACCACTACAGAATGCATTTGGAAATTTCGGAAGGGAAATTTAGGACGGTCATAATGACTGGGAGTTCCTACTGGTGTTTGATGCCAGGAAAACCAGTGATGCTATATGTCCTGCAATGTCTGGGAAAAGTGCTTACAAGAGATTGTTCTTTCTAAAAATGCCATTAGCATTCCTGTTCAGAACATGGCTATAAAGACTTGGGCAGAAGAGCCTCCTGGTTCTTTTCCACCAGGAAGAAAGCTCTGTTGCCTTAAGGCTGGCTTCAGTTGGAACTGTTCCTCTAGGATGCTTCAGGGAGCCTCAGCCCTAGACAGGTAGCTCTGTGCTCAGTGGACATAGGATCTTGCTGCCTCCACTTTCACATCCCTGCCATATACCTGTTTACTCCCACCATCTTTCACATGCCTGTTTACTCCTGCCATCTTTTCCCAGGTTGGCAACGATGAGATGTGCGACATCTGTGAGGTCTGGACGGCTGAGAGCCTCTTCCCATGCAGGATCTGTACCAGGGTTTTCCATGACGGCTGCCTGCGCCGCATGGGCTACATCCAAGGAGACAGTGCAGTGGAGGTGATCGAGATGGCCCACACAGAAACAGGCTGGAGCTGCCACTACTGTGTGAGCTGGGACTACAGGGATAGTGGGCTGCAGAAAAGCAGAGGACTTGGCACTTTTCCCAGGGGCCCAGTATTAGAACACTTGTTTCTAGGCTGGGGATTTAGGTCAGTGGCACCACGCCTGCCTCACAAACACAAGGTCCTGAGTTCAGTCCCCAGTACCACAAAAAAAAAAAGAACACTTGTTTCCAGACAGTTACCTAAAGGGTTTTCTAAGTACTTACAAAGACCTTAGAACTATGATCAGGTTTCTCAACTCTGTATTATTGATATTTGGGGCTAGATAACTCTTTAGTGTGATGGCACATTATAGGATGTAGCTGCATCTCTGGCCTCTGCTCCGCTAGACGCCAGTATCCCAAGTTGTAATAAGCAGAAATGTGTCTTCTAGGACATTATCATATATGTTCTGGATGGAGCAAAATCATCCCCAGTAGAGAACCACAGAGCTGGGGAGTAAGCTGGATAAAATAATCCTGAGTACTCAAAAGTAACTTTACTTAAAGTTTCTCTAATTGTCTGTAGTTATCATTTATTGGTTCTCATTTGAAAAACCAACCAGCTTGCTTCTAACAGGAATAGATTCTATCATTGGAAAACCATTTAGTCCTGTGATCCTCAGTTTGACCTATCTCCTAACTCTTAGAAACATTTTTTCATCTCTGAAGTGATCACTATGTGAATTAAATAATAAAGCTCTATTGATTCAGAACTTTGCAAAATAAATGTCTTCCATTTTTTAATGAAAGACAAAATCTAAGATTTTCATTGAAAGCCAGATTCATATCCATTTCTCACCATACCTGAAATAGATTCAAGTCTTTACTTCTTGATATCTTGTCCTTCAGATAGTGTCATTATTCTCTGATTTCAGAGTAAAGAGCATCTGATGATTGCCCTCTTCTACCTACTGCCTAGAAAAAAGCAGAGACATGTCACTTTGTCTTTAAAATAAAGTACAGAACAATTAATTTTCAGCTATTAAACATCTTTTCCCCTAAGATTTGCGACAACCAAACCTGCTCTACCAACAACCTTCCTAGTTTCCCCACTAAGGATGCCAGCCTTTTCAACTCTACTTGCTGCCATTTCCTGCCAATGTGGGACTAGGTTGAAAGTGTCTCTTTCTATCTCCCAAGAATGCATTGCTCCCTTCCCAGCTTCTGTCATGGTCTTATCATCACTACTACCACTGTCTGCCAGGTTTTCTACAAAGGCCTTTTCTAAGTTCATCTCCATTTTTTCCCTCCCTTTCGAACACACACAGACTTCTTAAAAGAACTTCATTATCTGCATCCATCATTCTGCTGAATTGGCTCTTCCTAAGGTCACCAGTGATCTCCTAAGTGTTAAGTCCAGTGATTCTTTCTCAGACATCTTATTTGACTTTTCTGAGGCACTTAGCACTTTTTAATTTCCCATTTTTCTTAGAGTTTGAGTATTTTTGTGTGAATTATTACACAACATGTGGAAATTAAAGAAAATATAAAATCCCTCCACACTTGTGTTACCATTGTTAGCATGAGCTACTTTGTTCAACTTTCTCTCTCTGTTGATATCCAATACCCTCTTCTCTATTGACTTTCCTCCAGCCTTCTCTGACCCTTCTTGGTCAGTGCCTTTAGGTTTTTGTCTCAGTCTTAAATGCTGGTCCTTCTCAGGGTTCTGTTGCTAATACTCTTCTCACTGTACACTCTTTGGATGACTTCATCCTACAGCCACCATCTGAACACTAATAACTTCCATATCTGTGTGTCCAGACTTAAATTTCCTGTCTGTGGGACTTATCCATCTTATGTCTCATGGATACTTCATGCTCAGCTTGCCCCTAGATGAATTCATCTTTTTCTCTAACCTGCTCTTCCTCCATCGCTCATATCAGTGAATTGTAATACCATCCTCTAGATCTGAGTCCCAGCTCATTTTTCTCCCTCTCCACTCAACATCCAGTAAGTCGTCAGTTCCATTAACTCTGCCTGTCTTGTCTCTCCCTTCTTCTCTGCTCATACCCTTTCACTCTCTTCCTCTCCTGATGATTGAACCCAGGGCCTTCACACTGAGCTGTATCCCTAGGCCTTTTTATTTTTTATTTTAAGACAGGGTCTCATTAAGTCACCAAGTTGCCCAGGCAGGCTTTGAACTTGTAATCCTCCTGCCTCAGCCTCCCACAGTATTGGAATTACAATCATATGTCTCTGTTCTCACATCAAAATTAGCCTCTCTTTTGTTATCTGCACTATTGCAACAGCCACCCAACTTTTCTCCATGCCTCCAGACTTTGCCACTGTGATCCATTTGTTCACAGCTGAGATCTGACCAATGTATTCTCTACTTAAAAGCCCTTGGGTGCTTGTCCTTTGTTCTCAGAATAAAGGTCTTTTTTGAAGAGCTCAATCAAAGACATTTCAGGTGCTTCCCAGTCAGGCTATCTACCCTCCCTTTTATCATTCTTCCCTGAAATTCCTACTCACATTCACACATGCTCTATACTCCAGCCACACTAAATATGTCACAGTGTTGCAAACACAACATTGTGGTGCCCAGAATATATGAGGCCCTCAGTAAGTGTTTATTGAAACCATGCTTTGAGTTCTTTTTGAAATGAATATTCATGAAATACCTGCTTGTGTTCTTGGCTGGTATTTTGATGAAAAAACTTAACCTAATAGAATCTTTGATATAGACTGCATTAGTAATTCTGAAATAAGATATCAATGCTTGTTTGGAATTAAATTGTCTTGTACCACAAAAAATCATTTGACTTTGGGGTGGCATCTCTTTCAAAACCATTCTGGAGTAATCTAATGCAATATAATCTACTAGGAGCAAAGCTAGAATTAGTTTTTTAACTAAAATACTCTCAAGCACAGCTTAACACAGAAGGCAGATACATTAAATGTATAAATATGGAGTTGCTGTGGTTGGTGGAGACAGAGACAGCCCTGCCCACTTACTACTGTCTTGTCCTCTGCAACAGCTTTCTAAGGCATTCCCAAGAAATTGCTCATTATCTCAGAGGATAATTTGAAAACCAATTATGTTTTGTTGTTGTTGTTTTGTTTTGTTTTTTTCTGTACTGGGGATTGAACTCAGGACCTTTGAACCGAACTACATACATCCCCAGACCTTTTCTTTAAAAGACAGGGTCTTGCTAAATTGCAGGCTGGGCTCAAACTTTCTGTTTAAAAAAATTTATTCATTTTTAAAATAAATTTTATTTTATCCCATTGTTCCATTCCCCTTACGCTCCCTCCCCTCCCTGTGTACAAAAGCTTTGTTTCCATTTTTTCCTTCTGTTTTCACTTTTCTCTTATCCCTTTCTTCCTTTCTCTCTCCCTCCTTCCTTGTTCCCCTTCCCATTTGAACATTTCCCATTTCCCAGTATTTATTATATATTTTAGTCCTTATTTCTACCTTCAGTTTCTCACACCAGAAAAGCAATGCAGTATTTAAACATATTTGTACGATTTATTTCACTTAAGAGTATGGTCTCAAGGTCCATCCATTTAGCTATAAATGTCTGAAGCTCATCCTTCTTTATGGCAGAGTAGTACTCCGTTGTATAAAAAACCCCACATTTTCTTTATCCATTTATCGGTTGGTGGGCATTTGGGCCATTTCCAAGATTTAGCTATTGCAAACTGTGCTGCTGTAAACATGGGTATATCGCTGTGGTAGGATGCTTCTAATTCTTTTGGGATAATACTAAGAAGAGGAATAGCTGGGTCAAATTATTATACAGTTTAATTCTAGTTTTTTGAGGAATCTCCACACTGATTTCCACAGTGGTTGCACCAGTCTACACTCCCACCAACAGTGGAAAATGGTTGCTTTTTCCCCACAGCCCCTCTCGCATTTGTTATTGGTTGATTTCTTGATAGCAGCCATACTTTCTGGAGAGATGGAATCTCAGTGTTGTTTTAATTTGCATATCACAAATGACCGGTGATGTATTTATTTGCCATTTCTAATTCTTCATCTGAAAAGTGTGTATTCATCTCAGATGCCCACTTTTGGATTGGGTCTTTAAATTTGGGGGGGGGTCTGATTTTTTTTGAGTTCTTTATATATGCTAGATAATAGTCCTTTGTCTGATAAATAGCTGGTAAAAGTTTTTTCCCCACAATGTGGGTCATCTCTTCACTCTGTTGGTGGTTTCTCTTGCAGTGCAAAAGCTTTTTAATAAGATGGGGTCCCAGTTTTTGATTCTTTGTAGTATTTCCCGTGCTATCTGGGTTTTGTTCATGAAGTCTTTGCCTACTTCTGTGTTCTCAAGCATTCTACCTATTCTCTCTTCAGGCAGATTTAGTATTTCCATTTTAATATTTAGATCTTTGATCCATTTTAACTTTAGATTAGTGCACGGTGAAAGGTATGGGTCTAATTTCAATCTTCAGCCTGTGGGAAGCCAGTTTTTCCAGCACCATTTATTAAAGAGGCTATCTTTCTTTCAGTGAATGTGTTTGGCTCCTTTGTCAAACATTAGATGGCTGAGCGTGTCTGGTGTTGTTTCTGCATCTTCTAGTCTGTTCCATTGGTCCTCAGGACTGTTCTTTTGCCAGTACCAGGCTGTTTTTATCACAGTGCTAGGCACCAACTTTCAATCCTCCTGCCTCAGCTGCCCAGAGTACTGGATTATAGGTGTGAGCCACCACACCCTGACAAAAACTAGTATTTTAGCAAAAGGGACTCAGCTGGAATTGGTATATATGGATTCTGGGGCAGATTCTTCCCAAAGTTTAAGAATTCTGAACAAGTCCTTTGCTCTTTCTGGGGTCTCAGTCTCGTCTGTGAATGGGAGGCTCAGATCAGGTGATCTTGGAATTGCCTTTCAGTTGAAATATCATTTCCATTCCTCTTGACTGCTTTCCTTTTTCTTACTAGCCTATATGGCTGCTGACTTAGCTTTTCCTTTTTTCAGGACAACCTCAACTTGCTGCTTACTGAGGAGGAAATGTACAGTCTCACAGAGACCTTTCAGCAGTGTAAAGTCATCCCTGGTAAGGCTTAAACAGCACTGCTGGGAGGGAGAAGGGATGGACAGAGTTCTTCTTCATCCTTTCTAGGATTAACTATGAAAGGCATATTCTGGGATTTGGGAGATAAGGGATAAATGGGAGATTATTCCTGAGTTGTTGGCCAGAGAGGCACCCACCCTACCACAGCCTCAGCTGTGTCTTTGGGGGGGGCATGAATGTGCCCTGGAGGTGAGCAGAGGTGTCTAAAGCTGAAGAAGGGTGGGCATGGCCAGCAAGGGGTGCCTCCCACAGATTGCTCCCTGACCCTGGAGGACTTCGTGCGCTACCGCCACCAAGCAGCAAAACGAGGGGACAGTAACAGAGCTTTGAGTGACAAGCAAGAGGAACAGGCAGCTCGCCAGTTTGCAGCCCTAGACCCTGAGCACCGAGGCCATGTAGAGTGGCCTGACTTCTTGTCCCATGAGTCCCTCCTACTTCTGCAGCAGTTACGTCCTCAGGTGAGAGAAAGCTGGAATGAGTGTCCATGGAAGGGGGAGAAAGAGGCCTGGGAAGCATGCTGGGCAGGTTAGAGATCAGGGAATAGTGTCCGAGCAGGAGCCAGTTATCAGGAATGGGTGAAGGTTCCGTGTGGTGACAGCTGATCAGTGCCCAGACCAGGGAAGCTGCCCATAGAAGTTGGTTTACATTGGACTCCCCTGAAAACAGTGTGCTATCAGAAAAGCTCTGGCAACTTCTAAGAGAGGTTGCAAAGGTTAGGTCATAGGAGTAGGATTTTCTGTGCCTTGACAGTTTACAAGAAATCTTTAACTCCAAGATCTTAACTTACCTCTTCTTCCTCAGAACTCTCTGTTGAGGCTTTTGACAGTCAAGGAGCGAGAACGAGCCCGAGCTACCTTCTTGGCATGGGGCAGTGGGAACACCATCAGTGAGAAAGAGTGTCGCCGTGCCCAGCACTCTTGGTTCGGCAAACACCTCTCAGAGGTTCCTTCCTGCAGCGTCAGGTCCGCTTCTTACCAGTCCCAGCCTCCCTCCTCCTTTTCCATGCAGGTGACCCTTGGTGTAAAAGGTAACTCCCTGGTTCTACCAACAGCCAGGAGAGGATCCTCCTGTGTATTAGGCAGAGGACATTGATTCCTTTTGGCCAGGGCATGGGATGGCCCCTACTCTAAACCCTGTGTTGCCTCATGTCAGATAAGTCTGGGCAGGCATGTGCAAAGCCATGAGTACATCATAATGTGAGACAGACCAGGACTTTTACCATCCTACTCTTAACCAATGGTCTTATATCTAGCAGCATCAGCCATGTGGGTCCCATAGCAGACAGCAGCCCAGCCAGCAGCAGCAGCAAGAGTCAGGATAAGGTCCTACTGTCTACAGAGCAGGAGTCCAGGTAAGTGGACCCTCTTCTTGGCTGTCTATAGTCTCCGCCCCCATAAATCACATATGAGTAGGAGAGGGCATCATTCACTGCCACTGCCAAAATAGAAAATGCCCACTTCAGTAAGCCAGGCAGCTGATCTTCTGGATTGGTAATACAGCCAACCATAATCATATCAGACATGAGCCAAGGCTTCCCTGAGTTTTGTCTAGCCCAAGCCGTGCTGCCACTAGGATCAGGTCTCATAAGCCTTTAGGCTCTGCACCCAGCAACACGAATCTGTTCTTTACTTCTACTGCAGATCTGTGGACTGGCCTACCTTCCTGCAAGAGAATGTCATCTACATCTTGGCTGCTCGCCCCAACAGTGCAGCCATTCACCTGAAGCCCCCAGGATAGTGCGGAACATAGAATCTTGGTTCAGGGACATTGGCATCCTTTCCCTCTTTTCCTTTCTCCCTTTCCTCAACCAACCTCTGGCACTGAGACTCATGGGGATGGGGCACTGCCAACATCTTAATTTGTCATTAAGCGTTATGGCACTGAAATCACCATTCCCCTCACAGCAGAGGCAGTAAGTGTACTGCCACAGGGAGAAGATGAGAGCTGTGGCAGCATCCACTCCTGGACCAGCCCCTACCCTCACATCAGAGACCAAACCTGCCACCACACACGCACATATATGCACGTGCGCACACATGCCTCGCTGTCCATGCCTTTAGAAGCCTGGTTCTTTTTAGTTGAAAAGGACCAAAATCCCTTTGTGGAAAAAAAAACCCAGACATAGATAAGATGGTCTCTACTCAACTCTTCTGTTGCTCAGTTCTGATTTCCAATAGACAATACTCGGATTGATTGATTGATTCTTAAAAAGGAAGTATACCAGACTCACATTCTGGAAATGCTGAGAGGGCTCTTCTGCCCACACTGAAAGCCTCGTCAGCAGGGAGCTACTATTACTAGTTGGAATCTACTATGTTCCTCAGGTGTGTGGGGGTGGGAAAAAGTTGAAAATCACCACTGCAGTCTCATCCACTATTTATTTAAATTTTAATTCCCTATGACAGAGAAAGAAGCTAGCTTATGAAACGCTGACCAGAAAGGGGGGAGGCAGCCTGTTCCAGAGACCCAGAATTCCAGGAACCTCTCACCCAAGTCATCCAAGTCCATAAATCCTGAGTAGAGTAGTTAAAAACTGGGGTGTGGGCTGGGGATTTAGCTCAGTGGTTCCACCGCCTGCCTTGCAGACAGAAGGACCTGAGTTCGATCCCCGGTACCAAAAAAAATCAAACAAACAAAAAAAATGGGATGAACCTTCCTGGTCTATTTTTCAAATGGTAGCTCATTACCCAAAGAACCTGAATGGAACAAATATGTTGGCAGGATCCCGAGCCCTCTGTATAAGACTTCACCCAAGTCAACTACCACAGAGACCAATGAGGATAAGGTCTGCATGGAAGAGGAGAGGAGAGAACTCATGTTTTTCCATCATTCCAGGTCAACCATAGACTTAGAAAAGTGTGCTATTGTGTGGAGAACGGATCCAGCTTCCACAACTCAAGAGAGAGCAGCTCTGTGAAGCCCTGAGAAGGGATTGCCTTCTGCCGTAATGACAATAAGGATAGGAAACAACTGGGCTTATGAAGAAGATCTGCATCTCAGCTCTCTCAAGCACAGGAGGTCCCAGTAAAGCCTCCTAGAGGCACATTTCCCCTTACCCCATAACTGTGTGGCCTCAATTGCTGCTTTTCCTCACTGTTCACTACATGTCCTTACTCTTCATGCTAGGGCCTGGGCCTGATATGGAGGACTTTGGGGGCAAGCAAGGCACCAGTGGTGCCAAACTTGGCCTGCAAGCCCTTCTCAAGTTTTCATCAAGTTCTCAAGTCAATATGTTATGGGTCAGCCCTGGCCTAGGGGCCCAGGTTCTGTATTTCTGTTTCCAACTGCACAACTTAGTTGTAAGAAGACATGACTACCAAGAATTATTCAAGAGGGAATTGAACTCAGCCACACAGAAGCTAACATATCTCCATTGTGTAAGGCCCTTGCACTTAGAGAAAGAGGAGACTACCACTCAGGGGACAGCAGGGAGCTGCAACTAGGGGCTTATAAAGAGCCCTGTGTAGTCTTTCTGTAAGAATGACCTAGAGCAGGATGATAATCTTGGGATAAATTATTTAGGAATGAAATGAAACAGGAAGCAAATGTGGGTTCATATTTATGATCCTGAACCTTTGAAAATCCACAGCTTCTCCTTAGCCATATTCCCAGGACTGATCAGTAAGAGGGGTCAATATTCAGCCTAGTTTTTTTGGGTTTTTTAAAGGAAGAAATGAAAGAAAACACACTCTTGCCCCTAAGGACTGCATCTGAGGTAGCCGGGCCTGAGTTTTTGCACAGAGAAGATTAACACATTGAACAAGGGCTCTTGCTTACTATCCTGGCAAGTAACCTAGTCCAGTAGCTGTGGGCTGCTCAACCTCAAAGTTAGGACATTTTAAGTCTCTTGAGTTTTTGAGAGCTGAACAGTTTTTTTCTCTCCTGCCTCTTCATCAGTCAGAGGGACTGAAAGGCCATCTTCTTGGTCCCTAATCTTTCACAGATCAAGGCAATGCCTACCGCTCTGGTACTGCTGCTTCTAGCTCTCAGCGGGTGAGTGGTGAGAGACCACCGGCCAGATCAAGCTGGCTGTGTTCCAGGGTTTCAGAGCAGGCCCCAGAGTTCTTCCACAATGGGAGCAGGCCCATTTACGATCACTCTTCCCTATCTCAGGGTAGCAAGCTTCCTTGATGGGGGTTCTGCTGTAGAGGGCCCAGGGGATACTGTCCCCAGCAAATTAAAATAGAGTTCCTAATCCACAGCAGGCATAAGAAGCAGAAAAGCACACAGGGGCAGCCAGCCTCTTCTATGTAAGTATCTAGCTCTACCAAAGGGAGGGTCCACTGCCCCCCAGTCCAGAGGTGCAGAGCCCTACCCCAAATACTTTGCAGTGTTCTAATCCCTAGAGCTGTACTATAGTATGTACAGAGATGTCCAGACTTTCATCGACCCAGTTAGGCCCATTCCCTTTTCAAGCATTTTCATCACTGTGACTGAAATTCTGCCAAGTACAAATTTAATGTCTGCCTCTTAACAAGGGTATGAAAATATTTCAATTGTTTTTACACTTGGCTACCAAAAATTGAGATCAGTGCTTTTTCCCACCCCAAATCCCAACCATGAGAGGCTTGGGTTATGTGTATGCTCTTTTGAAGACCACTTAGGGTAAGTGACTGTTTTTACCCACCAGTCATCCATGCTCAGATTTAAATAAAAGGGCATCTGAATGACAACGTGGAGCTGCAGGGACGGATGGTCACTGAGGGAGTGGCTGTGGCCACGTAATCTCTGTAGGTCTGCAACTTTGCTTCCTTTCCTCAGGCTGTCCTTCTAACAGAACATTCGAGCAGTGACTCCTCTATGGTATCCCAGAGATGGAGCAGTTTCCTCACTCCTGGGTACTGATTCAGTTCTCAATTGCTCTTCCTTTGAGGACAGCTGCAGCAGAAGCCATGAATATGTTGCCTTTTTCTACCACCAAAGCAATGGACTAGAATGGCAAACACCCACCTTTCTGGCCCTGGTGCACCTAATGGAATGTCACCCTAGCCTTGTCTATAGTGGCCAGGTGTTGAGGTTCCCCCATTCCTATCACCAGTATGGAAAGCACATAGACTGCCTGAGGAGAGGGCACCTCACCAGGCAGTGAGCCCCAGGGTTGTGCCCATCCCTCTTATCCCAAAACACAACTTCAACCATTGCAAGCATCAAGGATTTGGTAAGAGTGATACCAGGAAGCCCTAAAGCCAAGAAAAAGGCTCAGCAGAAGGACTAGGCCAGCCATGACACCCCAGAGCCAAAAATAACCTCTAGGCAGGGCTGGTAGAAGGCATTAATGTTCCTGCAAGTATGTCCCTTTCAGACCTGCAGAGTAAAGGCAGAGATACAGTATATAGTCATGAATTGCTTAACAGCATACATTCTGTGAACTAAGTGATTTCTTTGTAGTATGAACTTTATAACGTACTTATACAAAACAAAACTAGGTAATATGGTACCACGTGCATCACAGTTCATTGTTGGAACATGATTGCTATGCAGTGCATGACTGTTCTGTACTTGGCACCAAAGGTCAATCGATCTTGATGCCAGGATTTCAGGACATCCTTGAAGCATTTGTAACTGTAGTCCCTTTTTACCCTTCCTATTTACAGTGGAACAACATTTCTCCTTTCTCCTTACCATTTAGTTTGAATTTGCTAAGATATCTCTCTAGGCCCCTGGCCACAGGCCAGACAACAGAGATCTTGAGTGGGCACTTGGAGTGCATCACTCCTGTTCCCAGTAGCTCAACCCTAGAGGGGAGTGGGGCTGAGCATATTCCCAGCTGTTGGTTTCTTGCTGCCCTTATTTTTGGCAGCCTTAAAAGGAAAAGAAAATGAATGGGTCACAGAATTTCTACTAGATGCAACCAGCACTCAGGAAAAGCTGCCTCCCTCTAGGCCACCTACCCCAATGACACAGAGGCAGTCAAGTCTTATCTGGACCCACGATTAAGAAGCCAAATCACATTCCAGCACCAGGAATAGCACCAGGTTGGCCTTTCTATATCCATGGTGAACAAAGGCCTTCAAGCTTAGCCTCCAGCTGATAGGGATGTCCATGATCTGTCTCCCAACCAAACACAAGAAAGGGAGCTCTTAAGAGCACTTGAGTAACAATGGAGGATCCAACACCCTCTAATCCCTCCCGTCCTTTCCATGTACTTTTCTGCAGAAGGTAATTTGACAGTAAGCTGAGGAGAACATCCTCAGGCCCTGTCTTCCTGTCTACAGCTGCATGCTCCTCCCTTGCCTCAGCCTTCATGCTACTCCAAGAAGAGCTCCCAGAGTACAGCAGAAACCATAATAAAGAGATTGTGATACTACAGCTTCCTGCTTCCTTTTGTTTGTAGAACCTACCATTTATCTGTCTCTTCCCGTAGTTGACCAGTTTCTGGGCCTGAGAATAAGACAGGAGCCATAGTAGCTTCCAAGAACACACTACACAGTGGCTCTCTGGCACTTGCCTGGCCCTAACCTTCCCAAGAATCAAGTGATGAGTGTGTGTTGGGATCAGATAGAAGATACAGCAATCTATCCCGCACAGGTACAGAAAGGAAATGGGAGGTGGGGACTGAAGGGGACCATCAGAGCTTTTGGAGAAATTGAAATAATAAGGTTTCCCAACGTATCTGCTATGTATTGTCCCCCTCCTCACCAAAGGACAGTTTTAGACACTTCTCTCAGCTCCAGCTGAGCTACAAAATGAGGCAGCTAGTTGGTTGTTTTGTCCTAATCTCTGGGACCTCCCTGGTCAAGTTTCTTCCCACGTTCACCACTGTTTTAATGTGATATGATAGAGTTGGGGAAACTCAGATATAGAGAGGAATTTGGAGGTCTATGTGGCCCCCATTCATCTCTTTACCTGGTGAGAACACCCAGTCCCTCCAAGGGGAAGTATCTCTTCTAAGCTATAAAACAGGCTGACAAAATCAAAGATCCCAGATACAAGTAATTGCTAACATTTTTTATCACTTACTATGTACTGGAAAATCCTAAGTGGTTCACATAAAGTCAATAAGCTTCAAAATAACACTATGAACGGTCTAGGGGTGTGGCTCAGCGGCATGTTGCCACGCATGCACAAGGCCCTGTGTTTGATCCTCAGTATCACATGAAACAAAAAACCCTTGTGAGATGTGTACTGCAGATGAGACAAGTGAGGAACAGCAGCTATGTTTCTCAAGGGTACATAGTCACATAGGAAGTGGGAAGCCAGTTAGTCTGCATTCATTGCCCATGTTCTTAGCCACTTCATTGTGCTGCCTGTCAAAGTACACCTCAAAGGAACCACTGCAGTGTGGTCTAGCACCTCCCTCTTCTACCCCTGGAAATAGACCTAGACAGGTATCCAGGCCTATAGCCATGTCACAGATTTCTTGCCACATGTACAATTCACCTCACTCACTGGACTCTCATACCTCCTCTCTTTGGAGAGATGGGGATGGGGGATCCATTAGACCCAGAGGCATCTTAGTGACATCACACCGGCCTCTTCCTTGTCTCCAGAATAGCTGAGCATCAAGGCAGAAAAAGAGGCATAAAGACTGGGTCTCTGTGGAGTAGAACAAGTTTATGCCACCCTCAGTCCAGCAGTCCTGGCTGGGGCTTTATGCCCTCCAAGGACTGTCCCTCCCACCATCTGTCATGTATTCCCATGGTTGGTTTGAGCGTTAGTTTTACACAAACCTCCACCAACCTGTCCTGGTCTGGCTCATGTATACTTCTTTTTTCCCTAAAGAAAGTCATTTCCCAAAAGGAAACGTTGGCTGCTAAATTTGCTAAACATGGAGTAGTGTTCTCTCTCCCACCATTTCCAAGGATGGGTTGGAGTTTGACCTTGCTGAATGTTTTTTCCTCTGGAAAACTGTCCATGTCCTATCTGCCTCCTGAGCTAGTAGTTGAGTAAGAACAGAATGAGACTAGTAAGAGGAAAGAGCTTAATACACTGTAAGGCACTGAGTGAGCAGCAAGGATTTCTGCTCCATTTGAAACTGTCTTCTTCCACTCTCCCAGTCTCAGGCAGAGCTGGGGGTACAGCCAGTGGCCTCTGTCCACAGTGCTGAAGTCACAGCCAAGCCATCTGGGGACCTTCGGTCTTTCTTTGTCTCACCTTTAAGTAAATATCAAGTACACAAATTTTCAACCCCAAAGATTGCCCTAAAATTCAGAAGCTGTCAAAATGTTTTTTATTTATTTCATATATCTTTGGTTTTTCAAATCCATAACAGGTGCAGATGGGCAGAAGGTGATCTAGCAGCTCAGGGGGGAAAAGCATGAAGTCTTAACTTGATGTAGATGAACTGCATGAGGTGGCTACCTAAAAACTAACTGATGCAATGTGAGGCTATATGGAAAGAAGTCAGAGAAGGGAGACAGGCTGGTTCATTTATACACTGCACCAGTGCTCCTGGAAGAAGTTAATCAAGGCCAGACACCACAAACTGAAACCCATAAAGAAGAACACAGTCCTAGTGGCTGGAATCAAGGCAGAGGAAAACCCTATGAAAGCATTAATCCTGAAGAGGGGCAGACATGAGGAATACTGAGGGCTGACATATGGCACGTGGGTATGATGAGGTTGATGTGGTCTCAAGGACAGAGCTAAGACAAAAGGTGCCACTAGGGGAAGGCAGATTTCCCCTCATCAGGACCAAAAGACAATTGGGTATGAGGGATGGCAGTGAATCTGTATAAACATGACAGAAATGCTGTGTACAGAAGGAAATACCTTATCGAGTATTGAGTGCTCTTGAGTCTTGAAATGCCAGTCAACACATTCCTTCTGGCACATGCCAAGCCCTGATACTGGATTAACTGAAAGAAGAAGACCCATAACTTTAAGGACTTCATGACCCTAAAGTTTTGGTACCAAAAACCTGGGAACCTCAGTTTCTTTAGTTCACAGGAGAGCTCTGGAAGCTTACCTGTGGAACCTGACTCTGTATACCCTCTGCTGGCCATCCCTAGCACTGCCATCTCATCTCAAAAAAAAGAACTCCTTTAAAACCTTATGGCGCTGATTTGTGTAGATTCAAAACATGCAGAGAGACCCCAGGACCAGGGAGTTAGATCCTGACTGGTGCCTAGTGGACGGGATCAAAACTGAGTCTAAGAGCCAGGGATGTAGCTCAGTGACACTGCAATTGCCTGGCAAGCTCAAGGTCCTGAGTTTGGTCCCTGGTACCCACCCCCCCAAAAAAGAATCATGGTGAGATCAAGTGTCTGGTATCAAAATTAGGGCTTGTCCATGTCTAAGAGAAGAGCTTAGGCTGTGGCTGGATTTGGGGAACTGTCTTGTCCAGAACTACAGTACAACTAAAGTCAGTGACTCAGACTGATGCCAAAGTTGGGACTCGGTGTGAGATCAAAGCCTAGGTCCAGGTGTCTTCAGGAAGTATAAATCAGGAGAGATGCTAAAAGTCACCACAGAAAGGAGTTGGTCTGCATCCAAGTTAATAGATTCACATAGCATTCCAAGTAATGAGCACCCAATTACTAAAGAATTCAAGCAGAGATATTGCCCAGGGAAGAGGTATGAAGAATAAGACCCTTTCTCCTCAGAAAGTAGATCCAAGTATTCTAGTTCCAGCTTCCTGTTAAAGTCTCCTGCCCTGTAGTACCCACATACAAATCATCGATACAATTTAGGGAGAAGAGAGACCCAAGGTCCAGTCCTGTCACTGCAGAGCTGGCAGCTGTGGGGGTAGTCTTCCTCCCCCCACCCCAGGATTCTCTGTTTCTACTGGCAACTAAGCCTGGCAGCCTCCCACACCCAGATCTTAGCAACCATGGGAGCCCCTGGCAACTGCTGCCATGGTGACAAGACAGGGAACTGAGAACTGGAGGGGGGAAGCACTTCCTCTGGAGGCTATGAGATGTGTGCGAGATAGGGTGCTACCCCTCCCATACACAGTCTAGGAGGGAACATGTGCTCCTGTCTAAACACCTCCTCACTGGCACCTACCCCCGCCCTACCCACAAGTTCCGGTTCTCTCAGGGTGAGGAAATGAGGGACACCTAGGGTTATGACGTCTCTATGGGGAGGGAGAGTAAGCGGGGGTGTTTGGGGCTGGCATGATTACAGATGCCTGCATTCCATAGCAGTCGTGGTGTCAATGTCTAAATAGCCACATACTTCACCCACATTGTGCCACATGCTTACATATTTAGTTGCACATGTACACTGACACAAAATCACATACTTATAACAAATAACAGAACCAAGCACACTACCACACAAAACAATTATACAGATACACTCACTCAAAAATTGAATTGCAAATACAACAGTACAAATAACTCCTAATCCCAGACGCACACTATTATAGATGCATTCACATGCCCAGATATCTGTGAACACAAAGTAATAATTAACTTAGTCAAGCATTAACTACATACCAATCTCAGAACTAATCAGATTACATGTGTTACCTTAATTAACCCTCCCAACAATCCTGTGAGGTACTGCTTTGGCCTCTCTGCATTTACAAAAGACAAAACGAAGCACAAGTGTGGCATGTAGTCTCACAATGTTGACAGTCTGACTCTAAGACCCACATTCTGGCAATTTACACCATGCGTTGGTTCCTAAGACACACACCCAATGCCCAGGACAGTGTGACAGCAGGCAGCAATTGTGATCCAGAAACACAATAGAATTTCAGCCACCAACACCTAAGGGTATAACCTTGCAGGCCTGTGGGTTCAAGCCTACACTTTGGCATTAACATGGGCCAGGTAAGAGCTGGTGACTAAACCCTGCCTCTGTGTTGGCACAGGCAAGGCTGGGGGAGGCAAGAGCCAGAAGTGGAATAAGAAGAGGCAGAGCCACCCACAGCCTGGGCCCCCACAAGTCATGAGGAGGGGGAGTGAGGGCCCCTAGATCTGAGGAGCCAGCACCAGTCCTAGGCTCCCGCATCCTACTTTACCCCTCTCCACATCACACTCTTCCATCCCTTCCCTTCCTCATTCTTCCTCACCTCATCGGCTCTGTCCCAGCATTTTGCTGTTCATGCCATCCTGCCTCTCTACTATTCCCCATCCCCATCACAGGGCACTTCCTCTCCTCACACCTTCATTTCCTCCCCTTCTTTACCTCCCACCTTCCTGCTTCCTCAATCCCAGCATCTCCCCCTCACCCCCCATACTCATCAAGGCATCCCCACCTTCTCTCTACCTGCACTTCTCAATCCTCTTCTCACCCTGATTCCTTTGCTGATTTTAAACTCACATCCCTTTACCCAGTGGTGTAAGTGCACCAATGAGAACACCAGAAAGAAGGCAGCTAATGTAGGGTATACAGAAATACCCAGGGCTCCTAGGCCTCTCTCCAACTCCGTGGCCCAAGTCCTCCAAGCTTCAGTTTCCAGCTTGCATGACCTCATGGGTGTCTAAACTCTGTCTCTAGGAAACAGCAAAGAAAAAGGTGAGAACTTCTTCCCAGGCCCTTCTTTTGTCACCGAACTCCCCAAGAACTCCCTCCTCCTCTTCACCCCCAGATTACCCCCCACCCCCACCCCTGCTCCCTGGAGCACAGATGGGCCCGGGAGACAGTAACGTGGGCGCCAGGCTCCGTGTCTGCTAGAGCGGCGGCTTCCGCTGGCGACCGCCTCCGCAGCCCTGCCTGCTCTGAGCATCGGGGACACTGGGGCTGAGATTTAATTATTTAAGGGGGGGGGCGAATGAGATGAGAGAGCCTGAGGGTGTTAAGAAAGGAGATGTGATGAAAGTTTAAAGGGGGAGCTATAATAGAGGAGACCACAGAGCCACAGGATAGATTAAGACTAGGACAAAATTTTAGAAGGAAAAGAAAAAAGAAATAAATAGGACAAGACAGAAGATTGGGGTGGAGGAACAGGAGACCACAGTGGGCAAGAAGAAGGGTCTAATGTTCAGGAACTCAAATGGAAATAAAATGAAAGGTTGGTTATGAGGCGGCCTAAAATGTGAAATGTGAGAATGCTCAGAAGGGGCTGTTTATGAGGGAGTTGGGCTGAAGGGATTATACAGGGGTTGGAAAGGGGCTTGGAAAGAGAATCATGGAGGTGCCACTCCTGAGGAGAGGCCCCAGGTTACAGGGGCAGGAAGGAGGGCACTTAAGCAAACTATGTCTACCCGGGTCTGTGCTAAGATTCAACTAGGCGATGTCAGGTCAACACTAGGCTAAGGTAAAATAAAGCTAAATCAGGTCAGGTCGAGGTTAGTTCACAGTTGGATGGAAGTCAGCTAAGAAGGGGTGACCTTTTGGCCCTGGTCCAGAGACTACATCTCCCAGAGTGCACTATTTTCTCTCCTACTCTCCTAAATGAAGAAAGAAAAGAATGCCCGTGTCAGTGCCAACTGGTGGGCGCAGTTTTTCTTTAAGGCTGTCTTTGACGTTGCATGAGTTCCAGAAGGTTCTCTCAGGATTCGAGCGGTGGCCAGTCCGTCCTACCTTCTCAAACCGGAGATTGGACTAATATAGTTGCTCCCCGCCCCCTCCCCACCACCCTCGGGTCTGAGTCTCACAGACAGACCAATAAAATCAAAGGGCGCTTGGAGTTGCCAACCTCTGTCCTTTTCACCAATGGTGCGACAAGATGGAGAAAAGGCGTGGTTGATTGATCTCAGAGGGCACCAATCAGACCCACACCAGTGACTGCCCGGAATGTGTGCGCGTGTGGCCGGGTGAGAGGGGCGGAGAAGGGGCGGCTATCACCGAGCCGCTCGTTGATAGCTGCCCAATCACAGATAAGGCTGACCTGAGTGACGGGCCGGTGGCGCAATGGGCAGTGCAGAGGCGGAGCCGTGGGGGCGGGCTCCCGGTGCCGCTGTTTGCGGCCGGCGGGCAGGCAACTCCTGTCCAGAGTGGAGGCGGCGGAGCCGGAGCCGGGGGAGGGGGCAGCGGATATCTGACAGACCGCGGCGGCGCCCGCAGCTCCTTACCGGTGAGGCCGCCAAGCCAGGACTCTGGGAGCGGGGTGTCCTGAAGCCAGGGGTCTTGGGGTGGGGGGTGGGACACCAAGGGCCCATCGGGTCTTCTACTGTGGGGATGCGGGGGCTGGGAGCTCGGGGTCTGCGAGGTGCTCCGTGTCCGTGACCCAGGCTTGGTTCTCACAGAGGACACTCAGGGTCTGAGCGGGCCGAGGGTCGAGGAGGGTCGGGGAGGGTCAGGTGGGTTGGGGTTCCGCCGGGCGGAGCCGTTTCTAAACAGGCCAGCCAGCCAACGCGGGTGACATCACCGACCCCCTTCCCGGCCCAAACCCCCTCCCCTGCTGTCCCCGCCGCGCCTTTTGTCCCGGCCAGGCTCTCCTCTGCCCCGCCCCTCCCCGCCCATCTGCCGGGGAGGAGACTCCCCGTCAGTGACTTCATTGAGTAGGTTCTTGGGGATTCGGGCTTGGGTCCTCCCTAGACAGAGGCGAGAGGAGCTCACTGCCTCGCATCTCTCGCAGTCACACCTGTCACAGGTACACACGCTGCCACTAACAAGCACACGCTGCCACTGCCAGCCTCACTGTCACACTACCATACAGACACTCACAATTCTCCAGACACTACTGCACCTGGACCCTCTTCCTTCACTCTTGGCACCTGGGGATCAGGTCCGGCTCCTGCGGCACCAGACAGGCCTTGCTGGGCAAGGGCCTCTGAGAATCTGAGGAGGTGGCTTCCAGAGCTGCAGCTTTCCAAGCAGGCTCCGGTGGAGCGATCAGAGGTGAGGGCCTTGGCTGGGCATGTTTAAGCGCACAGTGCTCTCCTGCCCACCCCCAACAGCACCCCCACTACAGGCTCGAGGAGCTTTCCGGAGCTTCCCACACTTCTGGGGAGAAGACTTCTTAGCCAGCTTGATGTTTAAAATTCAGCTGGAGCCCTTAAAACTTCGAGCGTGGACGCTGAATGGGTTTGTAAAGTTTCGGTAAGTCCCTCCTGAGAAGGGCACTCATTCTCATACAAAATCAAACTCTCCACATCAGCTACTCCTCTCCATTGCTGACTTGCTTTCTCCATCTCATCTTCATCTCATCTCCAATTATATGTGAGACTCCCCTTTTCATACGTACATGTGAATGAATTGCACCTCTTATTATTTGTCTCCTCTCAAATCCTTTTTTCGTAAACATCTCCTCCAACATTTCAATAATTTCTCCAGTTCTCCCATTTGACCCATCAATGCCTCATTTTCCACCTCAACCATCTTCCCTCCCTATGCCCCAGCAGTTCCTCTTGCCATTTCTCCCCATTTTTTATTCCTGTCACTGCATTAACATCCCCTGTCATTCTTCTCCATCAAAGGCAGTGACATGCCTTGGGGTTCCTTTGTCATACCACCACGTGGCTTGCTTGTGGGTAGGGAGAGGGAGGGAGGGTAGAAAAGAGAAAGAAAAGGAGGCATGTCCTGAAACAGTTTGCCCTGTGTCTGTGGAGGCAAGAGAATTGTAGGTCTGGAATAGCTAGCAGGTGGGTGCCAGGGAGGAAGCTAGCCGGGAGAAAAGGTAATTCGGGGACAACAAAAGGAGGGTGGGTGGATGGTGAGCGGTTCTACTTGCCCTCTGGCTAGAAGCTGTTACAGTTCCCTGGGGCACCCATTGGTGTGCTAGGGTTCCTGCCCGTGGGGGGGGGGGGTGTGGGCTGAGACAGAGATGGCAGACCACCTCCAGCTCCCTCTTAGACAGCTTCTATTGCTGCTTCCGAAAATGGCTGCCCTCCCCCCAGATGCTCTTTCTTCTCTGCCTCCCCCAACCATAGTCTCCCCCACAGTGGTGACATGCTGGTGTGGGGAGATGGGGGAGTACCCGCCTTTATGGTGCATTCTCTTCGTCAGAGTAAGGTGACTCCCAGCACCATGAGTCAACCCAGCCACCTGCAGCAGGCCCTGTGGGGGCAGGATCTAGGGCCACTGTCTCTGCTTACCTTGGGCCTTGGAGGCCCCCCCTTTACCCAGTCACAGTCCTCATTTCTGCCAGGATACCTCATACACTTTGTTGCTTTGAAGCAGTCATAGCAGAAAAGTAGGCTTGGGCTGTGGCTGCCAGCCCAGGACGTTGCTAGAAAGACTGATTCTCCCAGCTTTGGCAGGGGTTGGCCGAGTCTCAGAAGAGCTAGAGAATGCCTTCTGGACATTCCCCCAAGTAGCTCTAGACAGAGGAACACCCCCCCCCCTTTGCTTCATATCCTTCACAGATGCACTGAGAGAGGAAAACCAGAGTGCAAGAATCAGAGCCTGTGTTTCTTCTTCATGTATAGATGCCCCAGCACCTGCTTAGAAGAGGTTATCAGGGGTGTGTGGGCTGAGTCAGATCCTAAACCACAGGAACAGGTGAGAGGCAGGGACTTGCAGGGAAGGTGTTTAGGAAATGGTGGTGAGTGCCCAGTTGTTTCCTAACAGGTAGAGTTCAAAAAAGCCCTATCCTGGGGAAGCTTTTTTTCACTAATACTGGTACTTAAGCAGTACAGACAAATCCTCACATAATTCTGTGTGTAGAGATTAGGAAATGAGTAAAGGCAACTCTTGCCCTGGTTGGGGGAAGGACAGTGTCACCCCCAGTTAATGAGGGTGTTAGAATAGCACAGGCTGTGAGTCACCCTGTGATCTGAGTCACATGTAAGGCTTAGCATAGTGTAGGGTGGGCAGGGGCAGGGAGGCTTGGGGTCTCCAAAAGAAGCAAGGACTCTAGACACCTATACCCTGACTCAGCCTGGCTGGCCAGGGCAGCTGGCTGAAGACCCAGGCCTGTTCCCAGTCCTAGGCACTGCCCCAGCTGCCCTCAGCCTGGGCACCATGCCTGAGGTGTGGCGTAGGAGCCACGATGTTCAGGTGACCTCACCCAGTACACCGACCTTCCGCAGCTTTTGTGCCTGGGTCTGTCAGTCCTCCATGCCACCACCTTCCTCAGAAGGGCCTCTCAGAAGTCCTCAGTCTGGTCCCAAGAAGTGGGCTACAACATTAAGCATCCTGCTGGGAAAACCCGGAAGCTGAGGAAGGAATCATGGAATCCTAGGATGTCAGAGCTGGAAAAGATCATCTAGTCCGAACCCTTCGTTTTGTAGATGGGGATACATAGGTCCACAGAACAGGCATGACCTGCTGAAGGTCACATAGGATATCATTTAGGGATTGTAGGATTATCAGGAACAGGGCTGGGAAGTAGAGAATAGGGGCACCAAAGATTGGCCCTGGGTTTCTTTCAGAAACAAGGAGACCAGCACTGGGCCAGTGGCTGTGATGGGCAAAGATTATTACAAGATTCTTGGGATCCCATCGGGGGCCAATGAGGATGAGATCAAGAAAGCCTATCGGAAGATGGCCTTGAAGTATCACCCAGACAAAAACAAAGAACCCAACGCTGAGGAGAAGTTTAAGGAGATTGCAGAGGCCTATGATGTGCTGAGTGACCCTAAGAAACGGAGCCTGTATGACCAGTATGGGGAGGAAGGTAAGAGAGTGTGCTGCAGCCCAGTCTTGGAACCCTGTGTTTGTCTGGAGTCCTGGGTGAGCCAGTTCTCACAGCAGGCAATGGAGGCCAAGGAGGGTGAGGGAGGCAAATGTTCTTAACACAGATACCTGGGAAGAGGGGAGACCACTCACTGCCTAGCCTCAGCTTACTGTGGTTCTCTCCACCTTTCTTCCCTTCTCCCTCTTCAAGCTCAAGCTCTAGAGAGGTCTGAAGCCAGAGCCAGAGACCTCTTTCCTTTTTCCTTCCAGCCTTATTAGTCCTGTCTGAAGTCCCTGTTGCTCCATTGGCTGATGGGAAAAGTTGGGGAGAGGAGCCTGTGTGGCTCTCTGAGGACAGAGCATTTAGATTCATCAGCATTAAAGTCTGGCCCTTAGGCAGCCTGAGGATTAACCACCAGAGTTCTGAGTAAAAGTAGTTGTCCCCTTCCCTCCCCCATCTCTGCCCACTTCAGGCCAGCAGAACAGAGGAGGCACTTCGCCTCACCAAGGAAGTGGCAGGGATCCAAGGGTGCAAGGGGAACTGCTGCTGGCATCTTATCCCCTCCCTGGGGCAGCTGGTGGCCAAGCATAGGGCGGGTGGCAGGAAAGGCCCAAATAAAGCCTCTGAGAGAGTGGCCCCTCCCCACACATCCCACGGGCATGATGTAGCTGCTAATTCTGGGCCTGCCCCTCAGGGCCGCCTGCCACCCGCCAGCCACAGGCACCTGTCAGGCTATATTAAGAGACATTGTCACAGCTGAGGACTCTCCTCCCCCAAAACATCTACCTTTCTTTCATGTTATCCTCCTCTTAACCTCCCCACCCTATCCTCAAAATGAAATAGGCTAATGGTATGTACCATGCCTGACACAAAGCAGGGGCTCAAAGATGTTCTTTTCTCACCCACTCCTTGCTTTGTATTCTCCTATCCTCTGTGTGCCCCAGTCCTCCCAACCCCCTCTTCTTATTCTCTGGGCTGTCATTCCCTGCATTTCTTCCTGTCCACTTCTGGCACTTCTCAACTCCCAAATCTACCAGGCACTTGCTGGAATCCCTGCTTTATCCCCAGATCCACCGGGAACCTGCTGGAATCCCCAGCATTATCCCCAGCATTTTCTTTCTGGGATGGAGGGATGGGAGGGGTAAGGGTGGGGAAAAAAGGAAGCAGCGTAGACACCATGCCACCATGTGACCTGTCTCGGAATTGCACTGATTCCTCCACTCGCCTTGCCTTTGCTTAAGAAGCAAAGACAGGGAGAGCTACCCTGAAACTTTGCCCCTCCTGAGTGAAGGGTACCTTCACTCAAACTCTGAGCCTGGACACTGGATTCAGATGCAGATCCCATTCTCAGGAGGGCCCCTGATGATGCTCCACAGCCTTATGCTATGCAGACCTCCAGGCCCTGGGGAGGGAAAAGCAGCCTTGGAAATGGTTACATTTCTGTCCACCCTGCCTCCTCCCCAACAGCCAGCCAGAACAATTGTGCACATGGACTCTGTGTTCAGCTCCACCTAGGGACAAGTTGTTCCCAGCTTGAAAAGGTGGTGGTGGTAGTGCAGGAATCCCTACAGTGAGAATTACCCACTCCTGTCATCATTAGTCCAACCTCCCACCCTCCCTGAGCTCTGCCAAGCTTCTTGAACTTGCTTGATAGCCAGCCTTTCAATAGGAGGAAATAACAGACTCTAAGTCTTGGAGGAGAGATGAAGAGGCAGCTGCCACAAGTCCCTGAACTGGCTGCCTCTTCTCTAATGAAATCCAAATCTGCTTTTGTACTTCCAAGAAATAAGAGACTAATTTAGGCCCAGGCTTCCACTGCCAATTGAAATTCTAGGTAAAAGGCCTTAAAGAGAAGGGGCCTCACCCCTGAGTCTACACATTCTGGTTCAGCTCTGAGTTAATCCCCTCCCCACCCCCATTACCTCCGTTGCCACCACTACTACCCCTTTAAAGGCACCATTCAAGAACTGGATTCCCTTAGACAGGACCTGACTCCAGAGGGGAGCTTGGGTCACCACCTGCACTGTGCCAACCCATTCACGAATGGTGTTTGTTCAGTGTTAGGCGTGGGGTGTAGGGCTTAGTTTTGTGTAACTCCAGGGAGCTCCATTCCCATTGCAGGCTATGTCTCTACAACGTGTGAATGACACTCACTGGAGCTGTACAACACTGTGCACAGCTTATTTGAAATTTTTTCCTGGAAAAAATACCTCCTGGCCTTGAAATTAATTAACTTTCCTGCTTTTTTTTTTTTTTAATCTCTTCTGATTTTCCATTTGGGCAAGAGTCAGGGAAAGAAAGATTGCTAAAAGCAAAGTAAAAGGTGGGCTTCCTCCTGGAATGTATCCCCACCTCATTTGGAAGAGGTCACTTACTAGCCCTCTATGTGGTCAAATCCTGTCTGATTGCCTCTCATCCTGTGTGTCTTTGGAGATGAGCAGAGACTGGGGAGTCAGGATGACTTGTAATGTGACACCAGACCGGTCATTCAAGGCTTTGTGAGATATCTCTGGGCCATGAGTATGTGGAAAAGATTACAGGACTGGAGGTCACCTCTCATCAGTCCCCTATTCCTGGCTTTTTGGACTCTTTGGTAACCTGACCTCCTGAAACCTCAAGATGTACATTATGCTTAACTGTGTAATTGACTAAGAGTGGAAATTAATCTTGCCAGAAGCTTTCTTGCTCTGTTAGTTTGTCCCCCTCCACAGGAATTAAAGATTGCCTCCTTCTCAGGCCCACAAACCAGAAGCTAGAGGGCAGGGGGGAGAGATTGGGGTGGGTCCAGGATGGGCCACACTGCCCCTATAACTTCTCCTCCCCTCCAGGCCTGAAGACCGGCGGTGGTACATCAGGTGGCTCCAGTGGCTCCTTTCACTACACCTTTCATGGGGACCCTCATGCCACCTTTGCCTCCTTCTTTGGTGGCTCCAACCCCTTCGATATCTTCTTTGCCAGCAGCCGCTCCACTCGGCCCTTCAGTGGCTTTGACCCAGATGACATGGATGTGGATGAAGATGAGGACCCATTTGGTGCCTTTGGCCGCTTTGGCTTCAATGGACTGAGTAGGGGTCCAAGGCGAGCCCCAGAACCACTGTACCCCCGGCGCAAAGTTCAGGACCCACCTGTGGTGCATGAGCTTCGAGTGTCCCTGGAGGAGATCTACCATGGCTCCACCAAGCGCATGAAGATCACAAGGCGGCGCCTCAACCCTGATGGGCGAACTGTGCGCACCGAGGACAAAATCTTGCACATCGTCATCAAGCGAGGCTGGAAGGAAGGCACCAAGATCACCTTCCCCAAAGAGGGTGATGCCACACCTGACAACATCCCTGCTGACATCGTCTTCGTGCTCAAGGACAAACCCCATGCACACTTTCGCCGGGATGGCACCAATGTGCTCTACAGTGCCCTGATCAGCCTCAAGGAGGTGGGGCCTGCTCAGGGAGTGTGTGTGTGGTACATGTGTGGTGTGTGTGTGTGGTGTGTGCGTGTGTGTTGGGGGGATGCCAGGAAACGTTCCTTTCCTTCCTGGCACATCCTTTCCCCATTTCAATGTTTTTCCTCCCTTCCCACTCTGCCCAGCCTTTTCCTCACTCCCTGCCTCATTTTCCCCAGGCGCTGTGTGGCTGCACCGTGAACATTCCCACCATTGATGGCCGAGTGATCCCTTTGCCCTGCAATGATGTCATCAAGCCAGGCACCGTGAAGAGACTCCGTGGGGAGGGCCTTCCCTTTCCCAAGGTCCCTACTCAGCGAGGAGACCTCATTGTGGAGTTCAAAGTTCGCTTCCCAGACAGATTAACACCACAGACGCGACAGATCCTTAAGCAGCACCTACCGTGTTCCTAGGCTCTGCCCCAGCTAGTCCAGAGTCTACCACAGCAATACCCCCCACACTCACCCCATCCAGTGTGCACCCAGCTTGATATCCACTGGGCACTGGCAATTTTTTCTAAAATGCAAAAGAAGCCACTGGTTTTCAGGATAATGTTCGTGTCCCTGACCCTTTTCAGAGCTGGGCTGCCTTGAGGAGTGGGAGGGAGGTGGGGAGAGCTAGCCCAGGCCAAGGGTCAGTTTTCATGTCACTAGCTTTGAATCCAGTTTCCACTCCAGTGGCTGGGGAGTGACTTGAGTGCTACTTGAAGATACAGATTCCTTGCCCACGCTTGTAAATAGCATGTCCCTTCCCCTCTCAGCCTTGCTGATATCTTTCCTCTCCCTTCCCTTAGGCTTCCTCCTGTTGGGGAGGAAGAGGATAGAAAGGACACTGATCTCCCACCCCCACCCCCTGGTCCACAGTGTCCAAGGTTATCGCACACACACCCATGCACAGGAAGCACTCATCTAGAGCTGTCTGTACCTCTATGGGAGATAGGAGAGGCGAGGAGATAGGAAGGGATGGTCTGCAACGCTCAAACAGGGCCATTGAGCACAAGACACTTTTCATTGGGGGAAGGGAGATGAACTGACCCTCAGCAGCCTCCCCAGTAGCTGCCCAGCCTACACCTAATAGAGTTGGAGGTTCTGTCTTCCTTGCTGCTCTGAGGAGTGTTTGAGGGTGGAGAAAGGGAAGAAGGGCCTGAGGTATTAAGGCTAAGAGGTGAGGCAGGGCCCATCTCCCAGCCTTCATCAAGAAGGGAAAGGGCTTTGGGGTCAGGTGGCAGCTACCCCCCAACAAGAGATTCAGGGTCACAGGTTTCTCCCCACACCTCTGAACTCAGGGCCTAGCCACCCCAAACTTCCAAGTCCCACTTTTGTGATATGTGAAGCTACTTATTTCTTACCCTTCTTGGAGGCTGTGGGGGGAATTCCAGCCCTTTTATGCCTGCGTGACCCCACCCCACTCTCACAGCTGTATGAAAGTCAATGGTGAAGGAGCTGGGAGAAAACTGCTTCAGCTGGTCCTGGGGTGGGGTCTTTAGGTTTTCTCACTTTGACAAGCCCCTGAATGTTTTTATAGTAGTTTTTTTGTATTTTTTGTAATGACAGTATTATGAAAAATAAAGTATTTTAAAAATATGGCATCTGAGCAGAAGCAGTGAGCCTGGAGTGTAGGAGGTGTGGTGTGCAGTGCTGCTCTCAACCTCCCTCCAGGACCCCGGTCACCTTTGAGAAGCCAAGCAGACCCTCAATTATGAACAGAAGCTGACTCCTTCCTTCTTCTAAGTTCAAACTCCTGGGATTCCAAAACTACCCAAATACAACAAAGACAAAATACACCATTCAGCTATTAGAAGAAACACCATTTGGAAGAAAAAATATCCCTGGTCATGACAGAGACCATCATCTTCAGAAAATGTGTCAATGTGAAACCTACTGTAATAGTTTTTTGGGGTTTTTTTGTCTAAAGCTTCTCTTTGAGTTAGAGAAATCTTCTTCCTAGAAGAAGGTAGAGGTTTTGTTTTTTGTTTTTTTTGGCTGACTAGAACAGACACATCCCCAAAGACCAGGCATGGGCAGTAGAGAGGATGACTAGAGGTTGTTGACCTCTTTGGCCCTGACTGGCAGGGCCTGAATAGGGACCTGAGCACCTGGGGAGACACTGAACACAGTTCTCTGAGGATGTCTATCCTGGAATCCGACCTGCTTGTCCCTGTTGAAACAACTGTGGCCCTCTCCTGAGATCACTCTGCCCCATGACATACCTGTCCTTTCCCTTGGGTCTGGCTGGGAAGGAGCCCTGGGGTTAGACTGCCTCTGCAGTCTCTGCCTGGATTTGATCTTCCTCTTGGGACTTTCCTCCAGGCATGACAGCTGCATCTCCCAGAACAGGCCATGACAGGCAAACCCTCTTGAGCTCAGAGCTCCTAGGGCCTTGAAGACAACGCCGCCTTCAGCTGGCCTGGCCACACAGAGGTGAACACTGACTGGGCTTCACAGCATCCTTCCTGCTTTGCTTTTCATCCCAGGACAGAGACGCTAAAAGTTTCTTGTCCTTATATCTGAGATACTTTTTGCAGGAGAGGCTATTTCTGCTAAGGCAGAAACTAGGGGGTCTCGTTTACAAGTCTGATAATCCCCTGGCCTATGCAGGGAGACCCCAACACTTTATCCCCTGCTCCATACTCTCCTACTTTGGGGTATCTAGTCCCTTTTTTTCACATGGGGCTAAATTCTTGCCACTGATCTCCCTGGAGGTCTGCAGCTTTGGGATCAAGGTCTGCTTGCCCAGACTGCTCCCTCTGGCCCTTATGTGGACACACAGGACCTGAGAAGTTGTCATGTTTTCACCAAGAACACTCATCTGAGACACCAAGCCATCTGAAGCAAACAGTCTTTATTGAGAATGCCCTGAGGCTGGCTCTCCAGCTCCTTCTGAAACTTGAACTTTCCCCTTCTTAGAGGATGTGCAGGAATTTCTGGTCCTAGAATGTCTGTGTTGTGTGGGAGTAGTGGAGGGGAGAAAGAGGGAGAAAGAGAATATGCATAGAAGTCAAAGTCAAGAGGGTAAAGGAGCTGGGGGAAAGACTGGTTCAGCCCAGCCATGGGGAGTGGGTCTTTATTGGGTTTTCTTACTTTGCCAAGTCCCTGAATGCTTTATCGTGTGTTTGTGTGTGTGTGTGTGTGTGTGTGTGTGTGTGTAATTTTGTAATGATAGAACTCTGACAATCATTCATTTATTTTGTATGACAAATACTCTTCAAGGCTTATCCATCTTGGACTACCAACACTCTCAGTGGGGCTGGGAATAGAGGGCATTCCTGGGTCACTAAAGTTCCTTGACCACTCAGAGAGCCATTTAGCTTCTAAAACCTCTCCCACATCACTGGCTGTCAGGACATCTGATCGTGGCTGAGGGGCCACAGTCTCCTCGGACTTCACTTCTGCCTGGGCCCTTTGGTCCTTAAGGGAATCCATAAACCTCCACTATCCTCTTCCTAAAGAGGAAACTCTGAAAAGATTCTCCCCACTGTGATGAGCCCCTCTAGGCCCTCGCCTCTCTGTTCTCTGCCTCTGGGTTCTGCTCTTTCACAGCTTTAGCTTGTTGGGATGCAACTCCACTCTCCTCTCTTGGGTCATGTTCTGCTCTTGTTTGACTTGGAGCGACTCTGCAATTTATATATGATAATGGCATCAGAAGCCAAAAAGTTTGCACTTTTGCTATGACTGATGGTCCTCTTAAAAGCCCATGACCAGTATCTCAGGGCCCTCTGGACACTTTTACTGACTACTGAGGGGACAGGAAAAGGACTATCCAGGGTGGGGACTGGCTTTTTTATGATAAGTTTATCTCCCAACCTGCCCAAAGGTCCCCTTCAAAGAGCTAAGCAACCTTAGTTTAACTACCCCTGAAACATGAGTGGCTGAGAAAGCTGGACTGAGGGAGGGGCCATGATTGGGCCTTTATCACCTCAGCTGTTTTATGGATTCAAAGACCTTGAAAATGAGCCAGGAAGATGACCACAAGTTCAAGGCCAGCCTGGGCTACACAGAGAGACCCTGTCTCACCAAACCAAAGAAACAAAATAAAACAAAGACCTTGAGAGCTACGTTCTACCTCTGTCATATTTAAAACTATACTATCTTGACTTCTAGTGCATGTGTAATGCCTGAATTAAGGAAAGATAGCTTTTTCATTGTTGTTATATATTTGCACAGAAAAATAATTACATTTGTCTTGGGGAGTTGGTACACATATATATCTCATCTTGATCATTTTTTGTTTCCCCTCTCCATCACCTTTCTCTCTTTCCCTTTCCCCAGATCCCCTTACCATTTCCACAAAGCCTACCTCCCTGTTTCCTACCATCTCTCTTTTATTTTTCTCTTAAATTATTTGTATTTTGGGTTTCTCATACAAGAGAAACTACACTATATTTATCCTTCTCTGCCTAATTTATTTCAATTAGTAATATGGTCTCAAGATCCATCCATTTTCCTACAAATGATTCAAATATATCCTTCTTTATGACTGAGTAGTACTCCATTGTGTATGTATACCACATTTTCTTGATCCATTTATCTGTTAGTAGAGATATAGGTCACTTCCATAATTTAACTATTGTGAATTATGTTGCTACAAACGTGAGTATGTGTGTATTGCTGTAATATGTTGACTTAGCTCTTTTGGGCGGATACCTAGAAAGGAAATAGCTAGTTCAAACAGAATTTCTATTTTTAGTTTTTGAGGAATCTCTCTCCATACTTATTTCCAAGGTAGTTTATACTATTCACACTCCCATTAACAATATAAAAGAATTCCTTTCCCCACAATCCTTTTTTTTCTTTTTTTGAGACAGGGTCTCACTATGTAGTTCAGGCTGGCCTTGAACACACTATGTAGTCCAGGCTGGCCTCGAACTTATGGCAATGCTCTTGCCTCAGCCTCCCAAGTGCTGAGATTACAGGGCTGTGCCACCATGCCTGGCAACCCCCTACAATCTTGAGTCCTTTATGATAGCTATTCTGACGGGGGTAAGATGGAATCCCACTGCTGTTTTGTTTTGCACTCCTCTAATGGCCAAAGATGCTGAACATTTTTTCATATATTTATTGACCATTTGTGCTTCTTTTGAGAAGCGTCTATTAATTTCAATTCCCCATTTTTTTATTAAATCTTTTATTTTGGGGGGGGCTAATTTTTTTTTACTTCTTTATATATTCTAGATATTAGTCCTCTGCCCAAGGAGTAGTTGGCAAAATAATTTTTCCCAGGGGCTGGGGATTTAGCTCAGTGGTGCTGCCGCCTGCCTCACAAGTGCAAGGTCCCAAGTTCGATCCCCAGTACCAAAAAAAAAAAAATTTTTTTTCCCCATTCTGTAGGTTGTTTCTTCAGTCTATTGGTTATTCCTCTTGCTACACAGAAGTTTTTAAATTTGATATAATCCCTTTTGTTGATTCTTCATATTATTTCTTGTGCAGTTGGAATTCTATTCAGAAAGTTCTTGCCTATGTTTATGTCTTCAAAGAATTTTACCCATTTTATCTTCCAGCAAACTCAGTGTTTCTATTTTTATATCTAGGTCTTTGGCCCATTTTGACAATTTTAGTACAAGTTAAGAAATATAGCTATAGATTCATTCTTCTGCACATAGATAACCTGCTTTCCCAGCACCATTTGTTAAAGAGGCTATCTTTTCTGCAGTGTATGTTTCTGGCCCCTTTGTCACAAATCAGATGGATGATGGCGCGTGGGGTTGTTTTGTGCCTTCAATTCTATTCCATTGGTGAATATGTCTATTTTTATGCCTGTACCATGCTGTTTTTATTACTGCAGCTTTGCAGTATAATTTGAAGTTTGGGATTGAAATGGCTCCTGCTTTGCTCTTTTTATCCAGGAAGGCTTTGGCTATTCTGGGTCTCTTATGGTTCCACATACATTTTAGGACTTTTTTTTTTTACTTCTGTGAAGAATGCTATTGCTATTCTGATTGGAATTGCATTAAGTGTATATACAGTTTTTTATATGTCTTTTTCTTTTTTTGGTACCAGGAATCAAACTCAGGACCTTGTGCCTGTGAGGCAGGCAGCGGAACCACTGAGCTAAATCCCGAGCCCTTACAGTTTTTTGTAATATGACCATTTTACAATATTGATTCTGCTTATCCAGGAACTTGGGGATATTGTTCTATTTTCTAATGAGAAAGGACAGCATCTTAAAGGTATTTAGATAGTATTCCTGACTCACTGGGGTTACTGAAATTCATTTCCAAGGCCCTAAAGGACTTACCAGGAGGAGGCAGTGTATGGTTGTCAGCAAGTCATAAACAATACACATCGATAAGGTCCCAAGTATACCTTCGGGATATTTTCCGATTGCTTCTGGTCTCAGTTCTCTCTTGAGCACATTTATAAGTCATTTCATGACCCAGTACCTAAGGAACTCAACAGGTTTTTTTTGTCTCTTCTAAAGAATCAGCCCCCAAAACCTGAGTAACTGCAAATTGCTTGATGGGTTACCCTTGGGGCCCTTTCTCTAGCTATGCCTCAGCCTCTTCCCTAGGTCATTCCCTAGCTGAAACTTTGCCAGACATCTCTCATGGAAGCCTCTTGAGTCACCAACTAAATCTTCCTTAGATCCTTTCTGCTTTAGCCTACAAACACCTTAGGGGCTGTGAGACTTTATCCTTATTCTTAGCTGAGATGTTTCTGTTAGTTGTCCTAAAGCTGCATCTGTTCCAGAGACTCTTGGACCCTGCAAGCTACAGGTCACCAGTGTCCCATGAGGCTCCTGAAGGCAGAACTCTAGTTGGTTCTAAATACTGTTGCTTACAGGAAACTCTCTAGGAAACATGGAAAGTGGCACATAGTTCTCTGAGGTCAGGCTATGCTGAAACAAGGTGTATGTCTGGGATGTAGCTCAGTGGTAGAGCATTTACTTATTGGCATGTTCAAGGCCATGGGCTCAATCCCAAGCAATGCCAAAGAAAGAAAGAGAAAAAGAAAGGAAGGAAGGAGGGAGGGAAGGAAGGAGGGAGGGAAGGAGAAAGAAAGAAAGGAAGGAAGGAAGGAAGGAAGGAAGGAAGAAAGAGAGAGAGAGAAAAATGAAACAAAGAAAGAGAAAGGAAGAAAGGCAGAAGGAAAGAAAGAAAGAGAAAAAAGTTGTTGGGAGCTGGAAAACTAAATGCTTCCTAAGACCTCTGGATTACAAAGAGTAAAACCCAGAAATTTTCAATCTACTTCTGCAGCAAGTAGAGAGACCCTAGAAGAGGTGGCTCTATTTTTGCTATAAATGATTCCCTGAGGCCCCCAAGGTTTGGGATTTGGGAGCTGTTGAGGACTGTGTGGTTGCTCTGGTTTATCTTCAGTGTTCCACCAGTAGTTGAGAGCCTGTTGTATGCTGTATGTCAGCAGTGACTACAATAATCTTAGAAGATAGCTAGAGATAGATAATAGATAGATGATAATAATGAAGATAGATGATTAATAGATGGATATAAATAGATGGTGATGATAGATAGATGGATGATAGATATAGATAAATGATTAATAGATTTAAATAGATGATACCAGATGATAGATGATACACAGATGAAGATAGATAAATAGATAAAAGATAGATAGATATCATCATCAGTCTTGGGGACCCATTCATTCCCATCCCCTGTTCAATCATTGGCCAGCCACACACAACAAAGGATACAGACTTTACAGAGTTAGTTCAGAAAAGTCACTAAGCAAACAATAGAAACAACAACAAATACAACGTCAACAAACCCTGAAGAGAAATCTGATTTCCAGAGATGCCACATTATATTATTTAGAATATTCTAGGACCAGGGATTTAGCTCAATGGTTTTGTCACCTGCTGCGCAAGTGCAAGGACCCAAGTTCGATCCCCGGTACAAAAAAAAAAAATGTACATATAGAATATTCCATTCTCAACAAAAACTATATGACATCCAAAGAAACAAAACAAAACAAAACAAATAAGCCCATGTCCATACACAGGGGATGGGGGTGGGAGGAAGTGGTCAGTAAAAAGTGACCCCAAGAAAGCTCAAACATTGGGCTTACTAGATAAAGAGTTTAAATTCGCTATTTAAAATATGTTCAAATAAGTGAAGAAAACTACAGTGGACCCTCAAGTTACAACCAGCCTGACATACAAGTAACTTGAGTTAATTAGGTTAATGGAAGATTCATCTGCCTCTTGTTATCAATAGCAAATGGAAGATTCATCTGCCTCTTGTTATCAATAGCATGTACCCAGAAAAATATCCAGATCTCAGCTGTATTGACAGTTACAACCAGCCCTTGGGAACCGATCGAGTTTGTAAGTCAAGGGTCCATTGTATGTCTAAAAAGACCAAAAGAAAATATGAAGACAATGTCAAAACAAGTAGATATTATAAATATAGAGATAGAGCTGGGTGTGATATCACAAGCCTGTAATCTCAGCACTGAGGGAGGCTGAGGCAGGAGGACTGCAAGTTCAAGCCATTCCAGGGCAACTTAGTAATACCTCAAAATAAAATAAAAAAATAATGATGGTAGGGGATATAGTTCAATAGTAGAATACCACTGAGTTCAATTCCCAGTACACCCACAAAAGATGAGAGAGAGACAGAGACAAAGATAATATTTTTAAATCACCAAATAAAACTTCTGGAGTCAAAAAGTACAATATCTGAAATATAAAATTTGGTAGATGCATAAGAACAGTGGAGAAGGCAGAACAAAAATCAGTGAACTAAAAGATAGGTCAATTGATATTCAATTTGAGGAACAAAATAAAAAGAATCAAGAAAAATGAATAGAGCCCATAAGACCTACAGAATACCATCATGCAAAGAAACATATAAATAATGGAAGTTTAGGAAAGAGAGGAGAGAAAGGAACAAAATATTTGAAAAAATAATGACTGAAAACTTCTCAAATCAGATGAAAATTTTTTTTCTGGTACCAGGAATCAAACTCAGGACCTTGTGCTTGCCAGGCAGGCTTGTTGCCACTGAGCTAAATCCCCAGCCCTAGATGAAATACTTTTTTTGTTTTGTTTTTTTGTTTTGTTTTGCTTTTTGGTACCAGGGATCGAACTTGGGA